TTTGTGGGCTATGTCGAAAATACATTTGCACAGCAGTTTTCGAGTAGAGGGAGTGACCAAATTCCAAATCAAAGCACATCATCGGGTAGCTCATAGGCCGTAGTAACTTTCCGTAAAAACCGCTTCTCGATATGTGACCCCGTTTGACCTCGGCAGGGCAAAATGTACAAATAAACAACACTACATACGTCCCAGCCCGGATTCAGTCCAGATTCGGGACACCTCCGATCAAGCTGAAACTCACACACAATGTAGGTCCTGACATGCCCAATCCACAGTCCGAGTCATTCGGTGACACTCCCAGCCGTTTGACCTACAGAGGTCAGCAAAGGTCACGTGGCCCAAATTTGCACAGCAGATTGTGGCCTACCCAGTAGAGCTAGAGCGCTAAAAATGGCACCAATCGACTCGCCAGCATCTAATCTTACTTTCCCAACACCCATTTGACCTCTCAAGGTTATGCGATGACCTAAGGTCATTTGTGGGCTATGTCGAAAATAAACTTGCACAGCAGTTTTCAAGTAGAGGGATTGACCGAATTCCAAATCAATGCACCTCATCGGGTAGCCCATGGGCCGTAGTAACTTTCCTTTAAAACCGCTTCTCGATATGTGACCCTGTTTGACCTCAGCAGGACAAAATGTACAAATAAACGTCACTCCATACGTCGCAGCCCGGATTCAGCCCAGATTCGGGACACCTCCGATCAAGCTGAAACTCGCACACAATGTAGGTCCTGACATGCCCAATCCACAGTCCGAGTCATTCGGCGGCACTCCCAGCCGTTTGACCTACAGAGGTCAGCAAAGGTCACGTGGCCCACATTTGCACAGCAGATTGTGGCCCAACCAGTAGAGCTAGAGCTCTAAAAATGGCACCAATCGACTCGCCAGCAACTAATCTTACTTTCCCGACAACGATTTGACCTCTCAATGTCATGCGATGACCTAAGGTCATTTGTGGGCTATGTCGAAAATACACTTGCACAGCAGTTTTCGAGTAGAGGGATTGACCGAATTCCAAATCAAAGCACATTGTCGGGTTGCCCATAAGCCGTAGTAACTTTTCTTGAAAACCACTTTTCGATATGTGACCCCCTTTGATCTCGGCAGGGCAAAATGTACAAATAAACGACACTCCATACGTCGCAGCCCGGATTCAGCCCAGATTCGGGACACCTCCGATCAAGCTGAAACTCACACACAATGTAGGTCCTGACATGCCCAATCCACAGTCCGAGTCATTCGGCGGCACTCTCAGCCGTTTGACCTACAGAGGTCAGCAAAGGTCACGTGGCCCAAATTTGCACAGCAGATTGTGGCCTACCCAGTAGAGCTAGAGCGCTAAAAATGGCACCAATCGACTCGCCAGCATCTTATGTTACTTTCCCAACACCCATTTGACCTCTCAAGGTTATGCGATGACCTAAGGTCAATTGTGGGCTATGTCGAAAATAAACTAGCACAGCAGTTTTCGAGTAGAGGGATTGACCGAATTCCAAATTAAAGCACATTATCGGGTAGCCCAAAGGGCGTAGTAACTTTCCATTCCCTCTACTCGAAAACTGCTGTGCAAGTGTATTTTCGACATAGCCCACAAATGACCTTAGGTCATCGCATGACCTTGACAGGTCAAATGGGTAGTGGGAAAGTAAGATTAGATGCTGGCGAGTCGATTGGTGCCGTTTTTAGCGCTCTAGCTCTGCTGGGTGGGCCACAATCTGCTGTGCAAATTTGGGCCACGTGATATTTGCTGACCTCTGTAGGTCAAACGGCGGGGAGTGCCGCCGAATGACTCGGACTGTGGATTGGGCATGTCAGGACTTACATTGTGTGCGAGTTTCAGCTTGATCGGAGGTGTCCCGAATCTGGGCTGAATCCGTGCTGCGACGTATGAAGTGTCGTTTATTTGTACATTTTGCCCTGCCGAGGTCAAACGGGGTCACATATCGAAAAGCGGTTTTTAAGGAAAGTTACTACGGCCTATGGGCTACTCGATGATGTGCTTTGATTTGGAATTCGGTCAATCCCTTTACTCGAAAACTGCTGTGCAATTGTATTTTCGACATAGCCCACAAATGACCTTAGGGCATCACATGACATTGAGAGGTCAAATGGATGTTGGGAAAGTAAGATTATTTGCTGGCGAGTCGATTGGTGCCATTTTTAGCGCTCTAGCTCTACTGGTTGGGTCACAATCTGCTGTGCAAATTTGGGCCACGTGACCTTTGCTGACCTCTGTAGGTCAAACGGCTGGGAGTGCCGCCGATTGACTCGGACTGTGGATCTAGCATGTCAGGACCTACATTTTGTGCGAGTTTTGGCTTGATCGGAGGTGTCCCGAATCTGGGCTGAATCCGGGCTGCGACGTATGGAGTGTCGTTTATTTGTACATTTTGCCCTGCCGAGGTCAAACGGGGTCACATATCGAGAAGCGGTTTTTAAGGTAAGTTACTACGGCCTATGAGCTATCCGATGATATGCTTTGATTTGGAATTCAATCACTCCCTCTACTCGAAAACTGCTGTGCAAGTGTATTTTCGACATAGCCCACAAATGACCTTAAGTCATCGCATGACCTTGAGAGGTCAAATGGGTGTTAGGAAAGTAAGATTATATGCTGGCGAGTCGATTGGTGCCATTTATAGCGCTCTAGCTCTACTGGGTGGGCCACAATCTGCTGTGCAAATTTGGGCCACGTGACCTTTGCTGACCTCTGCAGGTCAAACAGCTGGGAGTGCCGCCAAATGACTCGGACTGTGGATTGGGCATGTCAGGACCTACATTGTGTGCGAGTTTGAGCTTGATCGGAGGTATCCCGAGTCTGGGCTGAATCCGTGCTGCGACGTATTGAGTGTCGTTTATTTGCACATTTTGCCCTGCCGAGGTCAAACGGGGTCACATATCGAGAAGCGGTTTTCATGGAAAGTTACTACGGCTTACGGGCTACCCGATAATGTGCTTTGATTTGGAATTCGGTCAATCCCTCTACTCGAAAACTGCTGTGCAAGTGTATTTTCGACATAGCCCACAAATGACCTTAGGTCATTGCATGACCTTGAGAGGTCAAATGGGCATTAAGAAAGTAAGATTAGATGCTGGCGAGTCGATTGGTGCCGTTTTTAGCGCTCTAGCTCTACTGGGTGGGCCACGATCTGCTGTGCAAATTTGGGCCAAGTGACCTTTGCTGACCTCTGTAGGTCAAACGGCAGGGAGTGTCGCCGAATGACTCGGACTGTGGATTGGGCATGTAAGGACCTACATGGTGTGCGAGTTTCAGTTTGATCAGAGGTGTCCTGAATCTGGGCTGAATCCGGGCTGAGACGTATTGAGTGTCGTTTATTTGTACGTTTTGCCCTGCCGAGGTCAAACGGGGTCACATATCGAGAAGCGGTTTCTGAGGAAAGTTACTACGGCCTATGGGCTACCCGATGATGTGCTTTGATTTGGAATTCGGTCAATACCTCTACTCGAAAACTGCTGTGCAAGTGTATTTTCGACATAGCCCACAAATGACCTTAGGTCATCGCATGACCTTGAGAGGTCAAATGGGTATTGCGAAAGTAAGATTAGATGCTGGCAAGTCGATTGCTGCCATTTTTAGCGCTCTAGCTCTACTGGGTGGGCCACAATCTGCTGTGCAAATTTGGGCCACGTGACCTTTGCTGACCTCTTTAGGTCAAACAGCTGGGAGTTCCGCCGAATGACTCGGACTGTGGATTGGGCATGTCAGGACCTACATTGTGTGCGAGTTTCAGCTTGATCGGAGGTGTCCCGAATCCGGGCTGAATCTGGGCTGAATATGGGCTGTCTTGACGGACATGGGTACGGTGTTGCAAGTAGGTATATTTAATATTACTGCCAAATATTACCTGTGCTTTCATCATAGGCAATGCGGTCGCGGGTATAATCCGAAGTCTGTAGTAAACATCTAAAATGCGCCATGGTACCCATAAGTAAAAGGGAAGACTCGTTTAGTACAGGGTGTCCAGAAAAAAAAGATACTACGGAAATTAAGTCGCATTCATTAACGCACGAGCCGATTTTGTTTCAACTTCATGTGCTTATAGTGCAAGATTTGGCAAAACTTATGAGCACTGTAATGCGTCGTTGGAAAGTTGTCTGCCTGCCCTCCGAGATAGTCAACATGACCATCAGTCACCTGCAGACTGTGCTAGTGCTGGAGCTGATCCGCCGTAAGGCCGCTCACATTGAGTATCTGCTTTGAGGAGCTGCCGCGACTAACCAAAGAGTTTACATGCCATGTGGCACCTGCTGTCTGTTTTGCCATATTTTTGCGAATACAAGCATGTGCCATTTTAAAATGTAAGGTGTTTATTTTCGGAATTACAGCAAAAAATAATAGTATCCGTTTTTCTGGACACCCTGTATATCTAAGAGGCTGCGAATGTCGTCCTGGCCTGGGAATGCGGTCTGTGAACCTGAGTCCGAGCGTCAATAGTCTGCGCAGTGCACACCCGTGTGCACACGCTATAGGGGCGCTGCAGCACGCTGCCTTTGGCCGACGTGCCCCGCCTAGCGACGTGTTATACACTCAGTGACGTCACTAGGAATCGTTCAAACATGGTATGACCTCATATGACTTCAGGCACCTCATCCTTCCGTCAAGAAAGGTTTGCATTCTGCTAATACATATCGAGTTCCTCAATAGGTGTCCCGTACAATGAAATGCATTTTCGTTCAAATGCGTGAGACAAGTGTAAACTATACATTACCTACTCCCTAATTCTAGTTATGTACGTAGAAAACCGCATTCAAAATTTTCACCAAACTACGTTCATACCAAAATGTGCCTATAGATGGATGGATGCTTATGTATTGCCTTGGCCTTTAGTGACGGTTCACGTCAGGTTAGTGTTTCTTTATATCCATATTCTTTTAATTACAAATTATAAATAACAAGAAGATAAATTACAAGAATATATCGAAAGTTCGTATAATTGCAGCCCGTCTGAAGGTGCCTGCCGCGCTCCCACTGACCTGTTGCAGAGGTAGATGTCGCGGTAGTTGCCGAACAGGATCTCCTTGTGGCCGTCCCGGAGTCCACGCGCCGGGTTATCGCGCCAGTACTGCAGGTAGCCCTGGTGACAACCAGAAGGGAAGGCACTCAACTTTGAGCGATCAAACTCAGCAGTCATACCGCCACACCCAGACCGCTGCAGATAGGCCTTTAGGGAGGGAGGTTAAGCCGTTACGGAACGTATACGTTCCGTACACGAGGATTACGCAATAGAAACATCCCTGGACGTTCCTAAGACGCCTCCGATAAGTCATCGCAGCTTGTTGCATCATCGATAAGTGATCCATATCTACTGCACGATGACCCCGCCAAGACAGCAAAACACCAAAGCTCACCAAACATGGCAGACCATCACTCCTTGGGAAGTTTGCTAGACTTTTCATGTGCCATGTACACGAATATACCAGCCCTGCCACGCGACGGTTGCACGCAAGTGGTGACGGACTGGCAGTGCCGCCGCCGTGCCGCAAAACAGGTGCCAGCACTGCACCCTCGCCAAACTGCAACAATGATCTGACATGGCATGCAGCATTGACATCACCCACGGAGGACTTTCCTCGAATATGTGCCTTCGCGAAGATAGTGAGCAATACATGTTGGTGGCTATATTCAGAGTAACTACCTACTGTGTGTGCTGAGAGCCAGGTGCTCCTTTGCTGGATCCGTGGTAGCGAGATTGCGGCAAGGCTCTAACGGGCTCCAGTTCGAGCAGACAGGCTTTTCGTCGTATGTGTCTCACAAGTCGCTGGTCAAAGGTTACAACCAATAATTGGATATGTGTCACTGGTTACCGCAGGTCACAGGTCAGCTCCGCTCAGAGGTCATCACTGGTCACATGTCAACACAGGTCACTGAACATCACTGCAAGTCACTGGTCACCAAATGTCACCGCGCTTCACCGGTCACCGCTGGTTACGTACAGGTCAACACAGGTCACCGCAGATCCCTGCAAGTGACCGGTCACCTCTCCTTAAAGGTCACAGCGCCTCACCTGTCATTGCTGGTTGCGTAACAACAGTCGTCGGTACAAATTTCAATCAGATACCAAAGTTTTGTAAGACCAATAACATGCCAACGCCGATTGGAAATATGGCATCTCAAGCTATCATCGAACTGAATCTATCATTCCCTGCAACAGCTTCGTTGGCATTTTATTTGATATCGGTTTACACATTTTTCCAATCTCAGAGTTCTTGTGAGTCACCGGTCACAATGCACCTAAATATCAATAGAAAAACACAATTCTAACGAATTGTGTTTGTCTATTTCAAACAGCCTGCGTTTATGTGTAGCTGGTCACCACTGGGTAGTATTTGGTCGGAGGTCAGGGGCGAGCGGTGACCGCACCCCCTCACCGACCGCAGTCGCTCGGTGTCGCCTCCCCTACACCCCCAGCACCCCCAGCACTCGCGCGGCGGCCGTTCAGCCGCACTGACCTCTGGGCTCACCTCTGACCTGACACTGACAGTGCCGGCGGACCTCAGCTCACCCAATCAGCCGGCCGCTACGGCCAAACCACCGACCGGTAGAGCCGCGAGCAGAGTTATCAGCGAACTAATTATGTGATCTAACGTGACTCACGGACCCGTGAGAACAGCCGAGGACCCGACAGGAGCAGCTGGCCAGCCCGCAGAAGCAGCTGGTGACCCAACAGGAGCAGCTGCAGAGCCCACATGTGCGACTCCGGTGACTCCGGGGAGCAGCTGATTAGAGTCCCGGCTTGCCGCAGGGCTCTGTAATAGCCGGGACCGCGCCGCGCCGGGCCGGGCCACACCAGTTGCCCAATGGCCCACCAGTTTTTGGCATCGGGACGGGCAGCTGCGCACGCTATCTGCTGTAGGATCGCTGAGTGCGGGTCGGGCGGACGGCGCTCATGGCTGATCAGGCCTCTGTCAGGAAGTGGATCCATCGGTCGCCGGCCTTGGCAGCCGCCGTAAAACGCCCGTCCTCGGCACGCCGAAACTGCACCGGGGCAGTAAGGAGCACGCTACACCCCCAGGCAGGGAGCCGGCCGGTGCAGCAGAGGCTCCCAGATCGCTTGTCAGACGAGATCAGAAGGTCTCTGGGACCCAGACAGGGTTAGACCTCCCAAAGCAGCTGATTCAATAACAAAACAAATACATCATGGTAGCTCTTCAGCTGGCACCCTTGTATCCACAACAGATCTTACGGTACAGTACACCGCATCCATGGACTGAATGAAACTAAAACCACTGCCATGGAGGGCTGGCTGGGCGAGGCAGTGGTCAGTGGTCACGCCAGCAGTGCGAGGAGGTTGAGCTGGCACCTGGCAGTCGGCACGAAACACCGAAACCCGAGTCTGGCCTGGCCACCGCGCCGCCGCGGGGACCGAGCGGCCGTCGCAGCTGAGGGTAACGGCCCGCACGCGACCGACCGACCCACCGTGCGGTCCACCGACCAATGACCGGCAATGAAGAAGCGGGGTGACTGCTGGGGACATTAACCGAGGAGATTATGCCATCATGTGGTGAGGTTAAGCCAGAAATGGAAAAAAACATCTCGATGACCTTTTTGGCAATTCATTTCAAACTCTTTCTTTGTCCTGTTCATCAGCGTTTCTAATTTTCGATTTAATGCAGCTGGGTAGTTACCTATACTATAGTTCAGATAAAACGTACTTCACTGAGCATATATGTCGGTATGTGACTGAATGCATTTAACAGAATTACTACACTGGGACAACATTATCAAAAAGAAGGGCTAAAGCACAGTCAGGATTACTTGGCAGATTTCTAGCGACGACTACATTCGTCGCAAATATTTCGCCATAGTTAGGTAAGCAAAAACGGCTCAACTGCTCGTCACTCGGCAAGGAACGGCAATCCACGTCACTGTATGGCAGTTTCAGCGATGTAACGTGCCATATGAGTCACGCCTGAGAGGGCGCATTCCAAACTTAACTAGGTTTCAAGTGAAAAACTCACAATAGCCGCCAACGTTCATCACTTTGCGATATTGGTTTTCAGGTTTCCAATCTGTGGACGGTTATAGACCTCGCAATGTTATCGCCATACGCCAATCACCAGGACAGCAGCAAGACGGGGCAGCGGTGGCTGCAAGCCACAGAATAGCAGCAGGGCAGAGCAGTGGCAGCCACAGAACAGCAGCAGGGCAGAGCAGTGGCAGCCACAGAACAGTAGCTGCTGCGCCAGGGCAGCGGCAGTTGTGCAGATGTTCCGAGTCGCACCTGGCAGCTGCTCTGCACCACAGTTGGGTAGTTATGCGCCGCAGTTGTGCAGTTGTTCGGCGCTACCGTTCTGTCGCAGTTGTGCTGTTCTGCGTTGCAGTTGTGCTGTTCTGCGTCGCAGTTGTGCTGTCCTGCTCCGCAACTGTCCAGCTGTTCTGCGCCGCGGTCGTTTCACGAGTACTGAACTCTAGTCAACCGTAGCCAATCGGCCGGACGGCCGGCTAAACGGCAAATTGCCGGCGTTGCTCGGCTTCCTAGAGAGTGGCGTGCATGCTCTCGCCCACCTGACGCGTCGCTGACCGGACTGGCTCACTGGAGCGGACGGCACTACTCAGAGTGTTCAGCGCTCACTGCTCCGTGGTTACGCGGCCCATTGAACTACGGCCGCGTCACACGGCTCGATGGTCACGTCACTCCCAATGTGATGCGTGTGGGTACCAGGCTCGCGCCTGTTCACACACAATGCACATAAATATACAGCATACTTACAAACACTGACATCAGGTAATGCGTTGGCACAAGAACTCAAGGAACTGGGAGATGCTCTCTGGGCTGGCAGCACCATAGGTGTCGATTTGTATACTTTTGGGTGTGCCCGGGCACCCCCAATGCTGAGTTGGGCACCCCCCAAGAGGCTCTGGGCACCCACAACCAAAGTTGGTGCTGGCATCACTGTTACGATTCTTTGAACGCATTGTTTTCTCTAATTCAAAGGCGCGGGAACGGGGGGGCAGTGGGGACAGTTTACCCCCCCCCCCAACTCTGGGGCCGTGGGGGCGGTGCCCCCACAGCTTTAAGACGGAATATCTCACTTTTTTGCAAATGTTTTTTATGAAAACGCCAAGGGATGGAAAATAGGTGGCCTAAAACTGGCGAGAAAACTAAGTTTGGGAGTACCCTAGGTTAATTTCAATTATGGTGTGCACCCCCCCCCCCAGTCTGAAAATAGTTCCCGCGCCCCTGCTCTAGTTGCCGTACATCAGAATGCGTCGTAAAAAATAGACACAATTTTTCGCTTTATTTACATACCGGGTGGCCCAGAAAAAACGTTCCGAACTTTGGAGGCCTATATATCAAATACGAGTACAAATAACGAGCCAAAATTTTCATCAAGTTTGCGTCATTTCTTTGCGCATTGGTATGCCAAATTATAACACTATACCATCATTTTCAAGCTGGCAATGTTGAGTTGAATTAAGCAAGACGTTTTTGCTTTTTTTGCCGATGTCAAACGATAGTGATGATTGGGTTAGACGTCCCATGTTATAAAAAAAGAATAAAAAAGTAGAGCACGTGAATGAAACCAACACGTATGTTCTAATTTTAAATATTTTTTGTCTCACTTATGTGCCAAATATTCAAATACTGAGTCAAAATGGTGCTCATGGATGCCATTCGTTTCAACACCAAATCATGTTTCGAGCAGGAGTGGCACGGTGCATGGATTACTGCTGATTACCCTCCTTTCAGTAGATCAAACAGTAAATCGACCGGATAAGGAAAACAAACTAAAACAGACTGGTTCCTGTGCCAGAAGACCACAGAATAGCTGATGAAAAACAACATTGCCAGCAGATGACAAAAAAACTGGTTGAAAAGCTACCTTTTCTCAGGAATGTCAGCCAGGAAAGCATTTGAGCCACAAGATGGTTAGAAAACTGGAAACTTCTTCCGATGCCGCTGGTACAGAGCCATCATGGTTGCCTGAGGGAAGGTGTCATCCTGAGACCCGAACCATCAATGAGACTAGCTGCCAGTAGAAGTCATGGCTCTAGGCCGCGGTGCCGCAGGGTGAAAGTGACCCGTTCACTCACATTTTTTAGTAAACATCGGAGCAAAAAAGTAATTTTTAC